CCGCTGGGCTTTGGTTCCTGGACCCTTCGTGGATACGAAAATCTGTGGGTGCTCAAGTCCCATTAAATACAATGACATAGTAAAATGGTATCCCTTATATAAAATGCCAAAAATCAAGATTTGGGGCCATTTGGAATTTGTATTATTTCTGAATATTTTCAAGCCATAGATGCTTGGATCCATGGATAGAAAGCTAATTGTAATAATTTTATGCAGAGGTTCCCCAAGGTCAAATAAATTGAGAAAGGCTAATCTAAACATATTATGCCAGTGTTCAGTCAGCTGGTTGTTACTGCCTCTCAGTATGCTTTTGGCCTGATTTAAAGTGCTAGTCTTTAAAGTCCCAAATGGTTTGGGACAAGATTATCTAAGTTCTAAGAGATCACTTCCCCTCCACAGTTATCTAGCCAAACTCTGAGGTCATTGTCACTTTGCTCAGTGTGACTCCTGCAAGTGAGATCTTGTGAGTAGCTTCTTGGTAATAGTTTTCAATTGTCAAAATCACCCCCCCCCCCAAAAAAAGAGGCTCACCTGACATCTACTTTGTATTCTTTTCTTTTTTTGCAAAAGGTGAAGATTTTTTTACAAAAATCTCCCATACCTTTAAGGGCACATTTTAGAACTTTTCATAGATTTTGAGATTTTCTGGCCTTTAAAATTTAAGACTTGTCTTTCTTGATTTTATTGATCTATCTCTACTTTAGTTTTTTAACTGTAATTTTATATCTTTAAAAATAATTATTATGTACTATGTGTTAGTTACCTTAAACCCTATTTATTTAACAGCAGGTAAATAGCAAAAAATAAATAAAAAACAGAAATGGCTGTGAAGACACAGCTAGTGCCAAAATTTGTATGGAAAAGGCAGATATTCACTTGGTGCCTGAAAAACCTAATGTCTAGGCCAGGCAGGGTTCCCTTAACAGAGCATTTCACAGGATTGGTGTCACCATATAGTAGATTCTCAGCAAAATTTAACCTGAACAGAACCTCAGACTCTGAAGAGAGTGCATGAGAGGACAGTGAAAGAAAAAAGTGGTCCTTGTGAATATATGGTTGCTATGCTGGTTACAGATAGATAAGGAGGTGATCAAACCTGGGAGCTTCACTAACCAGCTACATCCTCGGCATGCAAAAAGTTGCACATAGCCAAAATATAAACACATAGGGAGATTTTAAAAGGATTTTAAAGTCAAAATGTCTGCTTGGCTTGCTGTCTGTCCTCCATATTACTACTATTTCACTTGGTTGGCAATTGAGGAGCGCTTTCAAGCCAGGCTAGGTTTTCTTTATTCATACTGTGGTATGAAGAAAATAAGAAGTATAGAAGTCATTGGGTTTTTTTAAGCACTTTGCTCAAAATACTGTGGGAGTGAAAAGGACTCTGCCTCCTTCTAAGCCCCCTGGGAAGCACCAGGGCTTGGGAGATGGATTCCTGATGACGCAAAAGGAGGCAGAGATAAGATAGGAAACAGCAAGAGAAAGAGAAGCTGTTTCTTTTTTACATAAGCAAATCTCAGTGCAAGAAAAACTGTTAGATTTCTGGGGGGGGGGGAGTACTAGAATGGTGTGTAAGTGTCATAACTGAAAAGCTGTGGTGATATCCTGAAAGCTGGAAAGATTCTTCTGTTCTGTAGGAAACTTTAGAGGAGGCCAGGAAAAGTTGGCAAGATGTTCACTGGATGCCCAGTGTCCCCTGCAACTCAGGAGGCTTTGCCAGTTCTGTAAATCTTCCAGAAAAAGGAACAATGATGATTTGCACATAATGTGATCATCTTCTGCAATGGCTGATATTTGCAGGGTGGCTATCGGGTGCCATCTTTTGTCAGACACAAGATGGGGGCACTTGATACAATCTCTGGCATCTACCGTATTATCCAGCTGATGTTCAGGGAGACAAAGCTCCCCAAACTGTAGCATCTAACAGAAGATAATTTCCGTGTGACTACCCTGCTTGTATCAACCAAGGACATTCTCCTTCACTGCAGAAAAGGCAAGAATCCAGAGGTGGGGAGCTGCAGAACAACTTGAGGAGAGGCAAAACTGAACATTTTGAGGAGAAACAAAACTGTGTCCTTTTCTCTGCATGAAACTTTGGGAAGATTCCTTTAGACAGTTACTTCAAATCCTCTAGCACAGACATGGGGTTTTCAATTCTCTATTATGGAGGCCAAGATAGCAAATCAGTAGGCTATAAGGGCCTGTACAGACTGCCAAAAACAATGCACTTGAGACCACTTTAACTGTCCTGGCTCAATGCTAGGGAATCATGGGAACTGTAGTTTATTGTGGCACCAGAGCTCTCTGACAGAGAAAGCTCAATGTCTCAGAAAAAAACTACAATTCCCGTGATTCCCTAGCATTGAGACACGTCAATTAAAGTGGCCTCAAGCTGGATTATTTCTGGCAGTCTGTACAGGCCCTTATAGCCTTCTGACTTGCTATCTTAGCCTCCATAATAGAGAATTGAAAGCCCTATGCCTGTGCTAGAGGAAGCTGGATTATTTCTGGCAGTCTGGAAAGGCCCTAAGTTTCAGTTCTTAGGCAAGTAATATTGTTGATCCAAGTCAGGGATAGGCAACCTAAGGCTTCAGGGGGCTAGATGTAGCCCCTCGAGGCCTTTGGACCGGCCCCAGGCTGGTCCTGCCACCGCCACCACCGCTGCTGCTGGCCATGATGATATTGATTATTGTTGTTATTACTTGTTCATGGAGTTTTCTTGGCAAAATCTCTACAGGGGTTTTGCCATGGCTTTTCTGGGACTGAGAGAGTGTGCATGCATATATTTTTTTAAAAAAAATGTAAAAATATATTTTTATTTATTTATTTATTTATTTTTGGTGTTTCGGCCCCCCAATTGTCTGAGGGACAGCAACCCGGCCCCCGGCTCAAAAAGATTGCCTACCCCTGATCCAAGTTAAAACCTATGCTGCTAGAAAGGTCATCTTTATTTGCACACCAAATCACAGAGCAGTGCCTTTAACTCACTACTGGTTAAGGTTCATTAGTTTGCGGACTGATATACCAGCTCATCTGCCAATTCAAACAGATGACAAGAGCAGCACTTGATAGTTATTCTTGCACAGTACAAGTTGCCACAAGGGAAACTGACAGGAAGGATTAATGGGCAATGCGAAATCAGAGCCTAGCCAGCTGCTCAGCAGCCCAACTCTGAACTCTGTGTTGCCTAGAAGGGACTTGAGACAAAATTATCCACTGACCTCCATTTACGATGCCAGAAGTACAAGATGTTAGAAAAACAGAACATGCCTCTTCCTTTTGCACATGACCCACTTTGGGCTGCCTGCTATGAGTCTGCTATAAACCATACTGCTCCCTTGTTTTACTATTTTGAAGAACACAGGACTTGAGGGAATTTGTATGTAAAGACAGCTTGGTAGAGGGCTCCTGGTACTTGCCATGGCTATGGAAGTCAAGGATCGACTAGTAGCTGATTCATCCACAGAAGCTTTGAGAATCACTTCTGACCAGTTTACATTCATTACTCCAACTGTATACTGGTGCTAGAAGGGTCTTTCCCCCCAAAGGGAACCTTTATGCAAATCAAGTGTTCAGCACTGTGACTCCTTCTGAAAAATGACCTTTGTTAAATATGACCGCCTAGACTGCTGCTACTTTTAACTTCTCCTGGTGTCATTCCTGCACATGGATTTCAAGCCACAAACAGATATTTAAACAACTGAACATATTACAGTAAAACCACAGACAAAGACCATAATTCAAGGGAATAACTCATACACTGGATAGAGACATACCTCTTTGGATTGATTTGCCTTTGCAACAGCATCCTGACTCAGGCGCTCTTGAACCAAAATGCGAATTGCCTAGGAAGGAAAAAAAGATGATAGCACAGATAAGCTGAGGCCTACACAAACTACAATCTCTTGTGAGACCTGGTGCTACATTCAGTGGCAAATTATGTAATGTTGCTAGCAGATGTGGCCTTTTCAGTATATTATGTAGGGAAAGGAGATAAATCTTTTGAAAAGTTTACAGTCTAGAATATAGCAGTGTCCTGGTGTCTTCTAAGATCCTCCGCCAACATGGCCACAAACTTTCATTATACATACTCCAGTTTGGGCTGGTCTGTACTTATACACCAAGAGAAGTCTTTGCTAACTAAATGACCCTCTTCAGACTTGCACCCTAGTTGTCATGAGCCAGGGATCATTTGTCTTGTGGTGTCAGGCAACTGACAAGAGAAGCCAAGGCAATGACAGAAGCCAAAATCTAAAGAGTATTACCTACCACATCTAGAAAGCATCATGGAAAAGGCACAAAAATGAGCAGATGCAATGAAAGGGCTTCCCTTCCCCCCCCATGATATCTTAAATGAATGTACCTTTCTGAGTAGTGGCCATTTTTGCTTTACTGCAACTGACCCAGTACTTGAACACAGATTACATTTCTTCTTCCTGAGAAACAGATTTCATTGGCCAGTCCATGTCAAGGGGTGAGCCTGTGTGCTTTTGCACTAGTTTGCAAGCATCCCTTTTTAATTTCAATTGAGAAAGAGGAATGGAAGGATTAATGTTCAAGATTTATTGCCTCCTCCTTAAGCACTGCACTCCAGGCAAAACAGGATACTGCAAACAAATCTGTTTTTAAATCCCCATGACCTGTTTGCTCATGGAAGACAACTACAAGCTTTTCAATGACTAAGCCCTGGAATGTGCTTGCCCTTTCTCACCTGCTGTTTCCCCACAGGAACCTAGCACCTCCAGAGGGAGAGGGGTTGTGGAGGAGAGGGAATTTAAGATGAAAAACAGGTACACAGGTATGCAAAGGAGTATGTACCCATTGTAATCTCGCTCCTTCTTCTAAGCCACCTCTCCCAGAGCTGTTTTGCCAGCTTGCTGTTGTTGTTGTGTGCCTTTCAAGTAGTTTCCAACTGATTGTGCTTCCAACTTCAACCTAGCATGGGGTTTTCTGGGGCTGAGAGTGTGTGACTTGCCCAAAGTCACCCAAAGCATTTCCATGGCCAAGCAGGAAATCGAACCCTGATCTCCAGTCATAGTCCAATGTTCAAACCACTACACCACGCTGGCTCTCAGATTTGTCAGCTACAGGAACTGAAGACACAATTTGTATGCTGTTTCCTGTGGCCCTATAGTGATCTCCACAAAAGGGTAATGCAGAATGAGGCACAGTAACTGGAGGGATAATCTAAAGGTATCTGAGCACATCCTCTATACACAACTAAGACACAGCTGCCACATAGTTAAGGATGCTGGCTCTGAATTCTGGATTTCAGTTTGACTTTTTTTTTTTTTTTGAAGCACCAATGGAGAAAGAGAATGGATTTCCTCCTATCCAACAGCAGTTCTGTAACATTCTAAAAGCCAAATATAACTGCTTTCACCTGCTTCCCGAGACCAAAGGGATCTTCATTGTTTCAGAAGGGAGGAAATCAACATTCTGTTACTGTATAACCTTGAGGACTATTTTTGTCCATTGGTACTGAAATGCTGTGGAATCTGAGGAAGTATACATATGAAACAAGCCTTGTCAAAATCTTATTATTTCTACTACACCTGTTCTCTTTTGAAAACTGTATAGATGCATACCACATTTAACAAAGCCTGTGATAAAGAAGTTCCTTTCTACATACTCTCTCCTTCTCTACCCAGTCCCCCTTTCCTCTTAAACTGGAAAATGGTGAAGGAGGGCTGGAGAAACACAGACTTCTAGTATCAGGTTATAGTGTCAGGTTACTGCCGTGAGTCAGCAGTAAACTATACAATAACAAAACTTGAGCTGGGAAAGAGTGGGATTCTATTCTACTTGATCATACTGTACCTGTGTGTGTCTGCCTACCACAGGCAAGGGAACAGTAGCTGCCTCCAAAACAGAGAGATAAGTGGTGAGCTTATCTGAAGGTAGCTGGTGAGCCTACTTCTCCAGCTACCCCCAGCATGTTAAACATGCACAGATCTATACATCTGGCAACTAAAATGGAAATCATGTGAAAAGTGGAGGCTTATGGAAAGTGCATTTTTGAAGAAGCTTTCAAGTGGTCTTTAGAAGGTTCATAATGTTTCTGTTTACTTATGCAAGATTTGCCTGACCTGCATGTTTCATTTCACATGTGCATCTTGTTAGCTTTGGATAAAACATTTGCTGAAACATGTTGAACTGTTCTTTTTTGTGTAGGAATCCACTCTTTTCATGTTATTTCTACCACTGGTTCTAAAATTTGTGTTAAAAGTAGTAATATCCAGGAATACTTGAACTTCACTAACTGAGATATACCTATGTTCTGTTTGTCTTATATACATGTCCTTGTTGATTTTTATTCTGAAATCCAAGAAGTCTTCCTATTCACAGGCATGCCTATTTGCTGACAGATCTTATATAAACCTCAGGCTGCTCTTGCAACCAAGTTGGAATTTCAAGATGTGCAATTACAAATGGGAATGTTTGGCCAGGAGCATGTTGCCTGATCTCAGAAAAGTTATCAATTTAATTTTATTGAACATGTTCCTAAACAGGAAGCTGGTACTGAGCAGAGCTTTGAAAAATACATGCTTGGACTAAGAATTCCCCTAACAAACATGGTCACTGGCCATGCTAACTAGGTGACTTGGGGAGGTATAATCTAAAATTGAACTTCTCTAAGCTTTTGGCTACCAAGACATGAACTGCCAATGTAGCAGAAATGGCTGCAATGAAACACATGCTTCGAAAATAACACAAAATCTGTAGCATTATTACAATCTGTGCCACCGTCATGGCAAACAGGGCAGCAGGGCCATGTAATTTTACTCTAAGCCAGGGCAAGATCTGATCTATGAAATTATCAGCTAAAGCAACATCAAGGCAACTGAAAGCAAGCGGCAAAACAAAATATACTTGAAATGTAGATCTCTATGGTTTTGGCTGCAATTCAAAGCACATTTAAATGGGTATATGTCTATAGGGCTAAGCAGACGAGCTGCCATGGGCTGCTCTGGGAAGCTGCGCTGCAGGACTGAGGCATCCCCACGCCTCGATCCCGCGGTGCAGCTTTGCTGCCCCTGAAAGGAGTGCTAAATCAGCGCTCCTTTCACAAGTTAGCGAAAGTGTGCCACAAAAGGCTGTGGTGCACTTTCGTTGACTTTTCCGCCGCAGCACGTGGAAAGGCTGCGGCGGGAGGTCCTCCTCGGAGCGCCAGCCGTGCGGAGGGACGGCTGCTCCGAGGACGACCTCGGGGAGGGGTTGGGGTGCTGATTGTGCGGCTGCCCCTCCCCTTCCCTGCCCC